GTGGCCTTGAATGTTACAAGGAAGTTGATAGCTATCCGAATACGAAGAAGGCCGGCTCCAGGCTCGTATGGACCTCGATCTCAGCGACGTCATCACCATCGGAATAGAAACCACGCTCAACCTCAACTGGCCCAAGCCCATGTCCGCCGTCCTCCCCGTCGCCCTCGCAGTCAGTATCGTCCGCTTCTCAGGCACCCTCGCCGTCTCCTTCATCCCCTCTTCCTCCCCTCCACCAACCGCTCCCTCCTCGCCCTCAGCAACAGCCAGACACCCCCCTAGCTCCGACCCCGACCGACCCTCCACATCTGGCTCCAACCCAACTACGCCACACCGCCCAACCACCCTCGCCTTCACCTTTCTCGACGACTACCGTCTCGACCTCTCCGTACGCTCCCTCGTCGGCTCCCGCTCTCGCCTTCAAGACGTGCCCAAGATCGCCCAGCTCATCGAATCCCGCGTCCACGCCTGGTTCGACGAACGCGCCGTCGAACCGCGCTTCCAACAGATTGTCCTTCCCTCACTCTGGCCCCGCAAACACAACACCCGCGGCGGCGCCACCACTGAAGACGTAGCCGCAGCAGACAACAACGATGATGACGATGAAGGCATCCACCTAGGCCAAGACTCAGACACCGACGACAACGATCCCACACTCACAGCCGGTCTGCGACCTTTTGCCCCATCCCCCGCCACCCTGGAAGAGCGCATCGAAGCCGAGGGCGCCAAGATGCGCGACGCAGAGATCCGCGCTGGTGTAAGAAAGGCCGGGACGCAGCACGAGCACACCAGCAAGAACAACACCAGTACTACTACTGGTAGAAGCAGCAGCACTCAACCCCGCGACGACACGCTCGACAACATGCGCCGGCGCGCCAATGAACGCGGCGCAGCGCCGGACTCGGCCCCCGCGAGGCGACCTAGGCCTGCGAATAGGCTTTCTGGCTTGTTGGATAGTATACCTGGGGCTATGCCTCGGTGAAGCTTGTATTATTAGAAATCTGCATGTGTACGATAGGTTGGGGGAGATGTCATGATGATGATTATAATGATGATGATGATGATGTTGATGAGTGGAAATGATTCACATTCTCTCTTCTTTTTTTTCCCCCGGGGTATGAAAATTGCGCCTTTGATATGGAGGTATGCAAATGATGTACTGTGAAAGAATCATCAGGCTTCATACTAGTCTATCTATTACATTCAAGCCGAATGGAGGGAGCGAGAGGATGAATATGTATATCAAGCATAACATATCCCACCCTCCAACTCGCGCTCAACAGCACGCTTGCCCTTTTACCACCTACATCTACTCCCATATATGAATGCTATTGTTAGACCTAGCCGTAGATGATGAAGATAAAAAACCAACCGCAAGATTCCCGTTTTTCTACTCGATCATTACTGTTCCATCGCTGAAAACGAGATGGAAGGTCGTCCAGGCTTGAGGCTGTTTTGTGCTGTATGCTTCATGCTGCATAGTCTACAGCTCATTGTCCACAATCCACAATCCACAAACGATACGAAAAAAATCCTCGACCTGGTCTAGTGTATCCATCTTACCGCATTCGACTCTATCCTATCCCAACATCAACCACTGAATCACATCGCCTCGTAGAACTTGGATGAAAAAACAAACTCCGCCCACCCACAACGTACTGGTATTCAAGTACCGTCATACATCCTCGCCATTCCCAACTCATCCAGTGATTTGTCCAGGTTTCACCCACGACTCTGCTCCACCTTGCCCTCGTCTCGCGCACTATACGGCGGTGTAGGCGCAAAGAAGCCTTCTGGTTTGGGAGCCGTGTCGGACGGGGCCAGGGTCAAGGGCTGGGTTTGTTGGGCTGACGGAGCAGGTGCCGTGGAAGGGGGAATCGGGGAGGCAGGCGGAATCGAATGTTGCGGTGGGTGCGTGGAGATGCCGTTTGGGATTGGGGAAGCTGGTGCGTGTTGAGAGGGTGGAAGAGTTGGGTGGGGTGGTTGCGCTGGGGTAGGCGCGAGTTCAGGTTGTGCTGGGAGGCCTGTGGAGGGTGGATCGCTCGTGTGTACATCGTCTTTCACGATTCCATTCGTTGTTGCCGGAGGCTGGACAGATGGCTGGGCAGAAGTGCTCTTGCGATAGCGTAGGGTGACCATTAGGGATTGTGGTTCGTCTCCTTGATCCATGGAGTCGTCTGCTGCATCGCCTTCATCCTCGTCCAGATCCATCTGCTCAGGCTCCTGATCTTCTTCTTCTTCTTCATCGCCGCCATCCCAAGATGTCGCGTCCTCCTCATCCGAGTCGACTGTGCCGTGGACGGGCCGACCATTCGTGGCATCCCGCTTGCCGGCGCGTGTTGCCCGACTATGCTGTGGCTCCTCAGACGATCGAACATAGTCTCCCATCGCAGGCGACACGCGATCATCAACCTGTCCGCTGTGCAGTGTCTCGCCGTATGCGCCTGTGGCCCGAGATCGGACCTGCCGACCACTAGCCGTAACCGTCGGCCCAGATGGCGCAACAGACGTCTCACGCCCAGAATTCCGTCCAGAACGGCGAGCGGGAAGGTCTTCTGATGCGAACTCGTCTTCTTCATCTGCATAGTTGTATCGCAGACGCTTGCCACGCGTGCGGCCTTCGTAGAGCGAGGGGTAGTCGGGACCAGGTCGCGAGAAGGCTGCGCTGCGCTGCACGCGGTATTCGCGTCGTTTTCGTTTCTGTTCGCAATGTTAGATTGTCATTCTATAGAAGAAAGTTTGCGCAAAGAGTCTTACGCCTTCTGAAGCTTCGAAGCGGGGGATGGCGTTGAGCATGCGCTCGCCGAGGGCCTTTGCCTCTCGGTGACCATCCTCTTCGTCCAACTTCTTAGCTAGCACCTGCAGCTCTTCAATAGAGCCTGCAACGCTAATCCATTGCACATTCTTCAGCTTTGGGTCGCTCTCGCGGTAGATGCGGAAATGTGTGTCGTTCTGCCCCTCGACCAGCCAGTACCGGCGCTTGTCCCCATCGCGGCCCCACGGTTGAACCGAGAGCGGAATGTTTGTGTCCAGTCTGTCCTTTGTGGTTCGAGCCTTGTATGCGTCATTGACCATTGCTTTGACCTGTTCATTTTGGTTTAGACTCCAGAGTGCGAGGGTGTGAAGAAGAGTGATCTGGGATACACGTTAGTCGCATTCGGCCAGTCGCCTTGATAAACACTCACACGTTCGACCGCCGTCATGGTATTAAAGCTGCGACCGCCGTTGAGGGGGTTTGCCGTCCACTTGCGTGGCCATTGTGATTTTTGGGTTTGGATGGCTTCTTCAAGGGCGCGGCCATAATGCCCTTTTCTGTTCAACACCATAATGTCAGCTTGCTTTTCTCTAGATGGTCCGGTACAGCTTGGCGACCAGCGTGTACATGATCTCATGATATCAAAGGGTGAGACTGACTCGACAGGCTTTTTGCGATTGAGGACGAGGCCGAGTAAAGCGCACAATAGACCCTCGACATCGGCAGAGGGCGTCTCTCCAACAACGCCCTGCTCGATGTCCTGAGGTCCAACATGAGGCGCGCCGCGAGGGAAGGCTTCATTGAAGCGCGATCGAAACATGACAATAAACTATGGCACCAAAAGTTAGCGGTGCACAGAAAGTAGCCATCCTCTGTAGCCGCGCACAATCGCGTCGCGACACCACGCGACAGACGCGTCCAACACGTACAGCAATGTCTGGATTATCCTCTGGAACGGGCTGGTGAGGCGGCGAAGCTGGCCGCTTCTTCGGAGGTGGTGACGGCGAGCGCTGTTTGAAAAAAGTCAAGATAGTGCCATTCTTCTTCTTCTTCTTCTTTTGGGGCGACGGCTTCTCCGACATTGCAGGTGCGGTATCGACGGGCATTTCGTCATCTGTCGCTGGAGGCGAGGAAAGGGAAGAGTCGGAGTCAGCCATGTTTGCTGTATGTTGGGGTTCAATTGTGGTGGTGGTCGCAATTGAAGTCGCGGGATGTAAGAGGGAACAACGAATGGAGCACGGGTAGGCACGTATGAGGTAATCGCCGATGATTCGACTAATTAAATCCTAGCAAGCGAAGGCTAATAGAGCGTGTTTTAATCACCAGACATGAAATGGCATACTTTGACGAATTTTGACCCCAGCTATGAGAGTGAAACGTGAGACGTGACCGAGAAACTTGCTATTGTTCTACTATGCATTGTGATGTATAGTGTCTCTCGTCGTCGTTTGTGTCTTGGCTTGTAAAAGCATGGGAGGAGCTGAGTTGATCGGCCTTTGCCCCAACTTTCTTCCTTCCTCCGCGCGTTACCCATTCCAACTCAACCATCCAATCGACCCTTCATCAACGCGAGTCGAGTGTCCGTCCAGATTGGATCATTGTGCTATCATAAGTACAGTAGAGTTGTTCATATGCCATATTCCTGGCCGACACGAACCCTATGTACTTGGCTATGCGGGCAGCAACCGCTCTCTTGTGTTCCAGCTCGAACGTCGCTGACAGCGGAGTCGGTGGTGGTGGTGCCATCATTGTGATGCCGTGCAAGTTGTGTTGTGCTAGGCCAGACTCTACATTGGTGGTTTCCGGTCCACTGCACACGCCGGATTTGAAGCCCTGCAATGCCCAAACATGCGGGGGATCTGATCATCACACCCACCAGAACAACTGCAACCTGGCGAAATTTTGGTTGGAGCAAGTCCGAGGTGTTTTATGCTTTTTGCGCAGGCGCCCACACACCCAATACAACTCTTTCGCGGTATATGCAGAGTGCGCTGCTTCTTGAGCATCTGGGGGCCTCTTTATCTGTTCGGCATTTGCACTCAAGAAGCACGCCATCTCTTAGAGAGTGGTTGGGTTGTTCAAAGCGCTTGCCATCTGTCAGGGTCGTAATGCGCCTAAAGCGAGCCCAAGATCTGCTCTTGTCACTGTGGGGCTAAGGAACCACATTCCAGAGTCTTCTCACCCACCACGTCTCCCAGAAGAGCGAGAGTTTCGGAAAAGGCGTAGAAATAAGATAAGAATTCAGGAGGAAGACGGAAGATGACAATGATGCTATCGCAGAGATGAGAAATGACGAAAGGGCATATAAAAATACAGTAAACGTCAAAATGATGAGCGCAATGTGATACTCACTGGAATTTTGAGAACTGCCATGCATTTGGGATGGGCGCGGTCGGGGGGAGAGAAAATAGGAGCAAAGTGTGGGTTTCGTGAGGTTGGGTGCATCCTAGTCACGTGCATTGGACGTCGCCCCCCAGTTCATTGATGTTCCTCGAGACAGACCACGCCTCTTTACTGCTAGGCACGGGAAGAGCCTGCAGCAGTGGGGAAAAGTGTTGATTGAGCAGGGCGATTCGATTGAAGCTCGTGCTTCTTGGTGTTGACGCATGGCCCACAGTCTGGAATGTCGACTAGGAGTGCCAATGTGCTAATCCGCGCTTCCGGCGTGCTAGATGTTGCTTACTACCCTATTGCCTATTGCTGTAGTCGAAGGCGAAAGAGGGTATGTACTATATGAGCTCGATTCTGCAGGGATCATCTTTGATTCAGGCGGTTACCATGATTAGATCACAATGGCATCGTATGTATTTGTGTGTGTGTGTGTGTGTGTGTGTGCTGAGAGAGGCAGTGAGGATACCATGTCGAAAGGGACGACGACAACCGGCCTATTATCGATGTGCTGTGCGCTCTCCTGTGGCGACGCACGGTTGATGTGAGTTAAAATTGCCAGAGATGGAAAAAGACACCAGGGGCAAATCAATTGGGTGGACAGAAACGGGATGAAACTGATGAGGATGCGGGCAGTGTTTGAGGACATCGGGCCATTGGCGTGAGATGGGATGGATTTACTGGCATCGGCTGGGAAAGGCTTCAGAGCTTCAGAGAGGAGGGGGGAGGGAGAGAGGGAGGGAGGGAGAGATGATCAACGGGTGGAACAAGCACCAAGTGCGTGACTGGGAAGAGGAAGGGAGGGGCGGGCCCATGCACGGACCCGAAGCTGTGGGGTTCTGGAATTGGGGCAGGAGCGTGCTTCTTGCCCGTAAAGTTATTGACACGCGTTTGGTCTCCTGCTCTTTCCACTATTTTCGGAAAAACCCGATCCCTGTTTCTATTTCCCCTCATTCATTCATTCATTCATTCATTCATTCATTCACTCACTCACCCGTCCATTCATTCATTCATTTCCACCTGTCCATACTGTGGTTACTACCCTTGGTGCCTTGGTGGTTGTACTCGAGGTGCACAACAGCTTCCACAGCACTTGTTGTTGCTTCTTGAACACCAAAGTACTCAACCCTGCCTGCTATCTGCTATTGCACCATTCGGGTGCTGGTTTTGCTGGGCTCTACCGTGCTGGCGTTGCGTGCATGCGTGCATGCATGTTTGCATAGAGTACATAAGGTTCCTCTCCTCCCTATCGATAAACCAGGTAGAGTAGTTAGCTACCTGCTCCCTGCAAGACGGCGGCTGCAACTTGGCCTACCTACTACCTACTCTCACTCCACTGTCACGACACCACATCGCCACTCCTCCTAACCTCCCCTCCTTCACCACCGCCACCATGAACGTCACCAAAAAATTCGACCGCCTCAAGCAATGGACCAACGAGAAAATGGGCGCCGAAGCCCGTACAGGCCTCTCCGACGAATTCAAGGCGTTGGAGGTGGAGATGAACCTACGTCACGAGGGTATGCACGCTGCTTGACCCCTTGCAGTCATGACGCACATAATGGTGAATGCTGACTCTCTGTCTAGGCATGGATAAAATGCAGCGGGCCATGGCTGTCTATGTCAAATCACTCTCCAAGCGCGCAGAAGGTGATGACAAGGAGAAGCAGCTTCCTGGTGGCCATCTCGGCTCCTCCATGGTCACACATGGCGAGGACTTTGAACCAGATTCCGAGTTTGGCAATTGTCTATCGTGTACGTACCCACCAGTCGAAGCCCGCCCATGAACATACTGACAGCTAGCAGCTCTGGGCCGCGCAAATGAACGCCTGGCACGAGTGCAGGAGACCTATGTCGCCAACGCTACTACATCGTGGCTTGAGGGTCTCGAGCGCTCTCTAGTCCAGATGAAGGAATACCAGGTACGCAACTTCACATGGAATCCCTCGAGACACCGCATGGACTGACTAGCCTAGGCTGCACGCAAGAAGCTCGACGCCCGCCGTCTCGCCTACGATACCTCGCTCGCCAAAATGCAAAAGTCAAAGAAGGAAGACTTCCGCATGGAGGAGGAGCTGCGCTCTCAAAAGGCCAAATATGAAGAGACGAGTGAAGAGGTGTTTCGTCGCATGCAGGACATCAAGGAGTCCGAGGTCGACATGGTCCAGGACCTTACTGCTTTCCTCGAAGCCGAGTTGAGCTACCATGACCGCTGCCGTGAGATCCTTCTCAACGTCAAGCGAGAATGGCCCGCCAGGTGAGGCAGTTGCCACCGTCTGACCGCGAACAAAGTGCTGACATGCTCTGCAGAGACGCTCGTGCAGCACCTGCTCGACCACCCCGATCTCGGTCCAATACTGCTCATGGATATGCGGACCGATTCAATCCCGTTGAGGAGGAGCCAGCTCCGGAAGTGCCGCGCATCACAATACCCAAGCTGAGCTCTCGCAGTCGCTCACCAGGTGCCGAGTCACAATCTTCTGGTGGTTATGCCCTCCGGCCTTCCCTTAGCCGCACCTCTACCTATGATGATGGCGCGCGTGATGACTCTCCAGCTCGGCGAGTGACTCGTGTACCGACCGACCCTGGCACTGTCATATCCTCCCGCAATAACCTCCGACCGGCTCGCAACGCCAACGCATTCGCCGACGAGTACGAAGATGATTACTCGAACAACAATAGTAGCAACAACTATAGACGCGATCGATCACCTCCCAGCCCCGATAACTCATCTGTTGGTAGTGCGCGTGGCAGTGTCATGTCACGAGCTGCAAGCTGGACACAAGCATCCGATCCAGGAAGCGCAAAGAAGGCACCTCCACCACCGCCCCCTTCCAGGGCTAAGAAGCCACCGCCACCGCCACCGCCAATGAAGCGAAGTGCGTTGAGTGCTTCTGAACTCGCTCGATACTAGCTGAAAATGATCAAATGCTTGATTTTTCTCTTGGCTAATGTGTGTATTGAGCAGAGCCAATGTCTTCTTCCAGTCGAATCGTGACCTGGTAAGAACGTTGCATTTACATCGGTCAGATAGCAGTGTCCAAGCGCATTGCACTTGACCGTGTGTACTTGGAGAAGATCTGCTTGGACGACTGCAGCGCGGTCAGGCGTATACGGCGTTGAGAATTTTCTGTTATTCCGTCTTGGGGGGAAAGTTGAAAATCAGCTGGCTTTTTTTTGTACAGCAACACATTGCTGTGGGTGCACTGTATAGGATATGCATCAAGTCCGCAGGTATAGATCGCCATGCTCCAAACAAGGAATTAGCATGGTTGAAATTCTGGGTCAGCTCATTCGTGTTGCACATGAAACCCAATATGTTGATGATGAATGTTGCGCAAGAGAGAAGATGCATCTGTCCGGCTATACGACAAAGTATCGCTAAATTTTCTAGGCCCCCTGAATGCACCCTGTATCGTTCCCAAGCTCTACACGTCATTACTCATACTTTTGCGGCTGCTGTGGGAAATTCCAATTCTCCTAGATCATCCTTGGTCAGCTTCATGCCCGAACGAAAATAACAATAATCCAGACTAGAGAAGCAAAAAGTCTCTCGAGGCGAAAAGAAACTTACCCATTGCTGCAACCCGCCATTTGGGCTCGCAGTGCCAAAATCCCCTGCGTGACCGCCCTGCGCTCCCGTATCAACCGGCACAAAGATCGCGCCTGCATCCTGGCCCGCCCCACCCATACTCGTAAAGAAGTCGAGATCATCCGATGCATGACCGGCACCACCACCTCCTCCTCCGCCCCCTCCATTCAGCGAACCCAGCAGGGCATCAAAGTCGACATTCAACGCATCCATTGCCCCCGACGTATTCGTTCGCTGCATGCGTCCCTGCAGCGATGCGGACCCGGCGCCCGTCCCGTTATTAGCCTGGGAATTGGCGGACACGGCGGCGCCGAAGCCGGGACTTGTGACGGAGCCAAAGGAAGGGAGGGGTTGGAGGGTAGGATGTTGCTGGGGAGCCATTTGAGCTCTTTTGCGATTGAAGCCCTTCATAACGTAAAAGGCCTCTAGGTTCTCCTTTACGGTCCAGAGGAGATCGGAGCAGCGCTCGCGCACGCCGACGCCGTAGCAGTGGCCGAAGATGTGGTCGATGATGGTGGCCATGCGGTCTTTGCGCGGCAGATCTGGGGTGCGGTAGAGTTCGGTGAGGAGCAGGAGGACGGCGTGGTATTGCTGGTAGGTGGTCGAGTACCAGGCCCAGGCGCTCAGGCTCGGCAGCGTGTCCAGCGTGGCCCCGATTTCGAGCGTGGTCAGGGCCGCGCTGAGGAGCACGTCGCGCAGCCGGTTTTCAGAGTCGGAGCGTGTCGATAGCGTGGTCTGCGGGAGGTGGCGGTAGAGGAGCATGGAGTCGCAGCGGGCCATGAGGAGGGTTGCGACGAGGCCTGCGTACCGCTGGATGGGCACGCCGGCGTCGAGGTATTGGAGGTATTTGCTTTGAATCATTTTCTTGCGGGCTTCGACGCGGGCGCGGAGGTCATGGAGGGTGAGGTGTTTACGGTCCATTTCGATTCTACCGCGGAAGATGAGTCTGTGGATTTCATTCACCTCGTAGCGTATCAGGGATAAAGTCACGTCTGTCCATCCGTTTGAGGAAGAAGGATGCTGTTGCCATGATGAGCTCCCGAATTCAAACACGTCGTCATCGACATTGAGGGGAAGCGCAATGTCAAAGTCATCACTGCGGATTGAAGGGTGGGGGCCCTGCGCCTCGGCCGTTTTGAAGTCGAGGAAGCAGATTTGATACCATAAGAGGGAGCGCACATGGCGTTGGAGAGGGGTTAGGCTATTTGCGGAACTGTGCGAGAGGCGATGGATGCCAATGCATTGGGCGAGACGGACGAGGGCGCCCACTACGACCGAGGTTGCACGGGATATTTGGGCCCTACAGAGGGGTATCTATTTCGCAGTTAGCGTGAACAAGCGAGAAGAAAGACAGCGAGCAGCGTTACCAAGTATATCGTCAGTGCTTGGAGCGTTCTGATGTTCGACGTCTTTGCCCAATTGGCTCGTAGCAGAGCTCTTTCAGTCGCCTTTTGCAACCTCAAGAACAAGTCCTCTTTTGTGATGCCAAACTGCGATTTTGCTTGTAGTGGCGACACAGATGCTGCCGCTGCCATGCACACGGCCAAAATCAGGGCGGTGCATGAGTTTTGGTTTGGACTTCCCATTTCAATGTTCAGCCAGAAACGATCAAACATTCGTTTGAACGAGGGAATGTGCAAGACATGTGCCAGTGGGCTCACAGCTTCCAAATACCGCTGAAACAGGGCTTCTGCTTCGAGCTTGGAGGGTAGCTGTGGTGGTTCGATGTCATTGTTCTGATGCAATGATAATGAACCACCTAGGAGTAGATTTAGCGACGGCGCCAGTGACGGCATCTGCTCTGCTGACAAGAGTGCAGAAGAATGCGGCGCTCTTTGACCAGCAACAGACGATGTTGGAGTGAAGCTCTCTGACAAAAGCTTGCCCAGCTACACATGGCGATTCAGCTAGTTCTCAATACTTGGCCTGTCCCGGCGCAGAGCGAAGGCAGAGCGGAGAGGGCGGACAGTACCTCTTCAGCATATTGCGGCCGGAAGAACCCGGTGACATTCTCACAGATGATCATTCTTCCGATCCGAATCGTCAGATCCGTTGCAATCTGATCCTCGTCGTCATTCTCATCCTCATACACATCGTCCTGCGCCTCTTCCCTCTCAGCCGGCAACCTCTCCCATGCATCACCCTCGGGCTCAACATCCTGCTGGTACGCCTCCCAATCGTAATCTCTAGGCGGCGTCCCCGGCGTAGTCGTCAAATCTACTGAATTGGAGCTCTCAAACTTGTCCACCACGCTCGTGCTACTCTGCGTACGCACCGGCAGGTTCTTGGTCCAATCCGGAATCGTAACACCACTCCCGCCGCCACTCTTACTTGACGCGCGTTCGCGCTGCTCCCTCTCTTTCTTGCGCGCCGCGCTCTCAGGGACGGTGATGAAGATGCATTCTCGTCCAAACGCCGTGCAATTCTGGCACGGATGCGTTTTCGAACACCTACTCTTGCGCGTGCGACACTCGACGCACGAATTAATCGGTCGTGGATTTCGACGCCGGACCACTCGAGACTGCAAGACGGTTCCTTGGTCGGGCATTCTCTCACGTCACTGCAGAACGGGCATTACCGGTATATCATCTGCATGGTTCCGTTGTTTATTGAGACGATGCTGCCATCTGCTGCGCTTTCGAAGTGTGTCGATTGCCGGAGGCTCCGAATGGTGTGGAGTAGGTATGGATGGTGGTTAAGGGAAATCGGATGTCGGCCCGTTGGCGTTGGGGGGGAACCTTGGCCTTCTTTAACTCGTGAAGCTACTCTGCTGATCACACGTGACACGGGCTCTCTTTCAGCCTTGCGAGATGCTGCTTGGCTACACTGCGGCCGACTCGCTTACCCCGATCAATACTGAAAGTTTGCCGTCCTTGGGATTCGGAGAGACGATGCAGGTACCACCAGAATCAAATTCGTGCAGGCAAGAGATTGTTGTGTTGTGAACTTCTCCAACACTTGGCAAATGGCGCGGCTTCGATTAGTACACGCAATGTATGTGCATGACATTGCATGCCCTGTTGCCTGTAGGATCGTCTCCACTTGCCCTGCGTCTTCAGACAGTTCACAGCCACAGAGGCAGCTGAGGCATTAATATGCATTGGGCATAGCTAGCTCTACTTCCTCCTTATCCCTAATGGTAGGCGTGCCGCAGCATGTTACCGATCACCAACAGAAATCTAAAGAAACAGGGAAAGACACTCTGTATGCATGTCAAAGTCCCGAGACCTGGTTCCGTCAGGTTGTTGAGCTTATTGTGTGGAAAGGCGAGCTATGAAGTAGATGCGAACACAACACCAATACTCCCCATTACCTGCCCACTTCCCGTCTTAACCGGGCTGCGGCTGAAGTTGGGGGAGGCTCTGGCCATGATTCTACAGCATCCTCAACCTCCTGCAGGAACGAAGTGCTGTTATGCACCGTGGTGCCGCCGAGTACAACGCGTACCCCGGGCGAACTCGCGTTAACCTGCGCAACCATCTTGGCCTCCTCATAGGTGGCCCCACCAACCATGAAAACGATGATATCCTGTGGCTTGTCCTTTGTCGATCCCCCTCCTTCTACAAATGGATAGACTTGTTGACTCAGTCTGCCCTTGATCATGTCTTGCAACGTGGTTTCTAATCGGGGCGAGTGTTGTGTATACACGTTCTCGACGCCCTTGAGGCCTTTTAGTCGGTCTCGAGCGCCACCAAAGAATGAGCCGGGTTGGAACAGGTCTGGTACTCCGCCCGTGGCAGTCGTCGTTTGCAATGAATCATGGTAGGTCAAGAGTTTTGTGATGAGGTTAATGCGATTTCTTGAAAGACCGCCAGCAACAGCAAGGAGATCCAGTAGCATGGCAGTTGAGTTGGAAGATGTTTTCGAGTATCGCAGCGCATAGATGGCGACAAGTCGCAACTTGTTATCAGCGGGCACCTTGGGGTCTTGTATTATTCTCTGTAATGACTTGACGTCGTTCGAGTGATTGTCCGTGCATGCCAGACTTTGTTCCAGCTCACTTATGTCCAGGAGGCTCTCTTCTCCTACTCTCCGACTTAGCTCACCAACCAGTGTAACGTGCTTTGTGACATTGCCAGACAGCTTACGAAACTCTGGAAAGTCCTCGATAAATCGCTTCATATCAGCTATCGATTCGAGCTTTTGCGACCCTTGCTGCTTGGATGCGAATTGCTCCACGTACTCCTTGGCATTCTGACCGAGATCACCAAAGTTCAGGTACATGTTCTTCTTGAAGAAGGGGTCTTGGTCTGGTGACAGCACAATCTCTTTGAGCTCGGGGCGGATTTCTGGTACGTCCCGGAGGTCGACTCGGCCGTTCTTGATCCCAAGTAGCTCATGCACCATGGCCTGATATGTCCATTGCGTTAGCAAGGGTGTCACTGGGTCGTCCCTTCGATCCACTATCAGCAGTATAGGAGGCGTGTCTGTTTTCCGGAAGTCGAATAATTGATCCTCCTGAGTCATGTGATATCTCACTTCTGTGGCCAGCTTCTTTACGAGCAGGCTGTTCTTCTGGTAACGTATCAAAGGCTTCTTCTTCAGCGCAAGCAACAAAGCCATGACAGCTTCCGTCGATCTTTGTAGCGCATCCTGATTCCATGAATCCGGGCTTGTGCTCCATATCCTGTGGTCTGGGAAGCCGAGGTTCAGGGACATGAGGTCGGGGTTGATGACAAGGAAATCGGCGAAGTACTCCTGGACTGCACGTACGACCTCATGGTCGTCTGCCTCGGCCAGTCTCTCCAACGAAGATTTCTTGATAATGTTGCTGAAGTCTATAGCCGGTCAGCAGGTAGCCTTGTGCAGCAAAGCCCAATGCATACAGATGTGGTATTCGCCGTACTTTGGCTCTCTCAGCTCTTCGATCAAGTTCTGTATCGATTCGGGAGAAGGGCGAACGAAGCAGAGGCAGCGGAGGTGGCGCATCTTCTCGCGCTTCTGGTTGTCCAGTCGGCTATATAGGGCATTAGCCACGGGTCGGAGGTCGAATATGGGAGGCAGCGGTACTCGGTGAGGTAGACTTCATGGCTGAGCAGGGCAGACTGCGTTGTCGCAGTGGATACAATCGACACCTGGCTGGTATGAGCATATACGAGCACATGCATGCGCACGCTTCACCTGGGAGAGGGAGAGGGAGAGGAGACAAACCCACAGTCTCGTTGTCGAGGAGAAGGATCTTCATCTTGGCCGCGGAGGTGCTTGTCGCCGTCTTGTCGCCGACCGACACCATCTTGGTGATGTAGCCCGAGACGGCCTGTACGATGTCCATGGTGGCGCACGTGTGTAGTTAGTAGGTACTCCCTATGATGATATTTCCTTTGGGATAAAGCGGCTACTTCGAGACGCGATATGGTCAAGTTATGCGTGTTGCCTGCAGCTCCATGTTGTGTACTTGCGTGTAATCGTGCATGAGTATTCAGTCGGCCATCGTGGTTGGTGGTTAGGTGAAGTTGGCAAGTGGCTCGAGCTTTGGAGACTGTGAGGAGCTACTACTGCCAGTACCGGTACTTCGTCGATATCTAACGTCAAGGAACATGTACAAGAAACCAAACTTGAGCAATTCCCGCACAAATGTCTCTAGTAATACTCACCCCCCTCAATTACCTCTCGTCGTGATGGTCGACCGCTGGAGGAGTGGTCTAGACAGGCGTCTCCCATGGCGGGGTACCGGTACGCATAAGTTACCGGTAAGCCCTGTTGTCTCGAAATCCAGACCATGCGGATGAGAGGGAAGCTCGTTGGGGTGTTCACAGACGACTTTAGCCACTCAGTGACGTATTCACTTACTACATAACGTTATGGCTATGTAGACGCATGCATAATGGGCCAGCTGCAGTCTTCCCTTGGCTACCTACCTAAGGAGTCTTGTCCCCCCTATATACTTTCATACCACTCTCACAGACATTTCTGCTCTGCTCTTCCTTCCCCGTCATAAAAGCGACAGCCTCTCTCACTTTCTCGTCAGCATCATATCTCAATGAATAGACTCTTTCTGTCAGTCAAGCAGTCCTCCTACAGCAACATCGCTAATCATCTACTCACAGTCTAGGTGCTACTGGCTACGTTGGAGGTGATGCACTCCATGTCATAGCAAATGCATGTCCCGATCTAGAAATCACTGCCCTGGTTCGCAACAGCGACAAATGTCCCGATCTAGAAATCACTGCCCTGGTTCGCAACAGCGACAAAGGCGCAACGGTTGCCGCTCAATATCCCAAGGTCCGCCTAGTCTATGGTGATCTCGACAATGCCGACCTACTCAAGAAGGAAGCCTCGCACGCAGATATTGTACTTCAAATCGCCGACTGTGATCACGTTGCTTGTGCTGAAGCTCTGATTGCTGGACTTGCCACTCAAGACAAGAAAACTTATTTCATCCACACGTCAGGTGCCGGCATCCTGTGTTTCCCTGACATTGCAGCTGGCACCTTTGGCATCATGCGAGAGAAGGTATTCGATGACTGGGATGGTATTGACGAAGTCACATCTTTGCCTGATGCTGCTGTCCATCGCAACGTCGATAAGATCATCCTAGGCGCTCACGCAGCATCTGGAGGAAATATTGACACTACAATCGTCTGTCCGCCTTGCATATATGGACCAGGCCGTGGCCCGGGCAATCAGCGAAGTATGCAAGTGGAGGGTTACGTCAAGGCCACCCTGGAACGAAGCAAGGGCTTTCTTGTCGAAGAAGGTGCCAACATATGGAATCAGGTCCATGTCCAAGATCTCAGCGAGCTATTTGTCGCTCTCATAAAAGCAGCTTTGTCTCCCAATGGCGGCAAAGCCACCTGGAACGACAAGGGCTACTACTTCGCTGAGAATGGAGAATTTGCATGGGGAGACATCGCCCGGGAGATCGCAAGATGCGCATTCGACAAGAAGTTGATCAACAGCAACGAGCTTGATACTCTTGACAAGGACGGCGCCAATAAGCTGATAGCTATGGGAGGCTATCTGTGGGGATTCAATTCTCGCGGTAGAGCCATCCGCGCGCGAAAGCTATTGGACTGGAAACCCACCCAGAAGAGTGCACTTGACCTACTTCCTGAGATCATTGACGCTGAAGCGAAGGCGTTGGGCAGGTTGAAGACTCATGCTGAGGAAGCTGCAGAGGGTCGCATCTTGAGATAAGCCATCAAGCATTCTAATTTCTATAACAAACTACAGAGCAAATAGCTATGACATCGCCAATGAATACAAATTGTACCTACTTGCAACTGGAGGCTACTTAGTCTACCTCACGTCTCCTCTTTCTGAGCCTCGGCAAACCAACACGGCCTTTACGTCATCCATCAACTACCCAACACCTAGACATACATATCTTAATACTTCGTAGATACAGGACTGAGTATAGTCACCCCTTGCGATCCATTACCTTCAATTTTCACAATGCCACTCTGTACTCTCCATCTCATATCCCTCCACCCAACCATCGCTCTGCCCACTTTCCTCTCCACCCTCAAATCCTCAAACTTGACACCCTTGGTTATATCCCACGTAGTACGCTGGATAATCCTCCCCACAAAAATCTCGACCGAACACCTCCTCGCTCGCAACATCCATTGGGACATTCTCCTCATCCTCCCCTCCACCAGCGCCCTCCCCCCACCCCTCATCCAACAAATCGCACACCACTGGTCCATCACCGCCGGCATCCCATCCCGACTCACCCAAAACTTTGCCGCCAAAAACCACGCTCTGATACACCCCGATCCCGGCTCTGTGCCCCCTCTACGCGGCGACGACGCCACAAAATCAACCACCTCGTCCGCCCAAAATCTCGAATTATCCGCCGACCTCAACGCCTGGATCGATGGGGCCGTGGAAAGAGGAGGCGCAGAGGACCTAGGCGCAGTCTCCATGTTCAACCTCCTCTCCTTCAACCCAGGCATGAAGTCCTCCTACCTGCAGTACGGCGCCGCTTTCGCCGCCTACATTGGCTCCGCCCACGGTGGCAACGCCAAACTCGTAGGCAACGTCATCAACACCAATGGACAGCCCTCGCTGTCTCGATCTTCCGGCACCCCCGCTACCGCCGGCTTGACCAAGGTGGGCGAGTTGGGCGGGGAGTGGGACGAGATTGCCCTGGCACATTATCCTAGTATTCGCCATTTTAGGGACATGTTGACGAGTGCCGAGTATCAGCGGGTGAATGCGAAGTTTAGGGTGCCTAGTTTGAGGGATACGGCGATTTTGATGACGAGTGAGGTTGGGGTGGAGGAGTTGATGAGGGGGGTTGGAGGAGGGGCGAAGTTGTAGTGTTGTGGTGAAGTGTGGAGAAAGGGGAGGGAGGGGCAGGAAGGAACCGATGAGTTGTGAAGATGGAAGACTATGTAGGTTTTGGTGTGTGCATCACGAGGAGACATATCCTGGGAGAATTTCGCTAGCATTCGTCGTGCTGGTAAGTACGTAAGCCATGATATTTGTGAAAGGGGAAATCGCCGTCCATGTTACTTTACTATCAAAGTATTGCATAGATTCAAAGTATCGAAAGGCGACATTTCGAGGGGCGATACGACACTTGCATGTCTGACGCCAGTGACATCTCAGTCGTGGTAATGTGAGATATCCACCCCCCTCCAAGGGGCTGCCGCAAACCCCCAAAAATCGCAATCCACTTCGCAATCACGCTCGACGCATACGCCCCGTCTTGGAAACTTCAAACGGTCTCCAACCGCTTCCAGTCTCAAGATTTCCCACCGCATCTCAGTCTTCCATCTCCATTTCCCCATGTTATCGTCTCAATCCTCAATCTCAATCTCAATCCCAACCCTGCGACTCAACACACAACTCCCTAACCACATCACTCCCCTCCCCCTCCCACGACATCCACCTCCTCTTCCTCCTCTTCCTCCCCCCCGCACCCACACCCAAACCCACACTTACATCTCCAACCCGACCCCAACACGGCAACACCCAATTCTCCCGCTCAAACCCATCCCACCACGCCCCCATCAACCGCTCCAAAACCGCCCTCTTGTGCTCCCACACCACTCCCTCGTCCTGGCCCACAACCTTGAGCAGCACAACACTGCCCATGGAAATCCCATCGCCGTTGCCATAAGCGCTTGAGATCCCTCCCGCACCAGGATGAGAGTATAGATGTGATGGGTACCGGATCGGCTCGTCGAGGAAGAGGCGCCGCGTGAGCAGACAAGTTTCTGCGTGTCCGTTGCGTATACAGCGCGTGCAAGAGGGGGGTGTGCGCGAGCAGGGGAGTGAGGCCAGTGTGCATTGGATACAGGAGGTCATGAGGACCAAGCGGGGGATTGAGGCGTCGTGGGGTTTGGGGGGTGCGTTTGTAGGGGGTGTTTCTGCGCGGGCAAGGGAGGCGTTGGAGGAAGGGGGGGAGAGGGAGAAGAGAGTTGGTGGGGGCTTTGGACTTGGACTTTGACTCGGTGGTTGTTGTAGCGATGAAGGAGTAGGTGCGGTATCGAGGATGAGGGGTTTGATATTGCGTTTGTCATTGTCGTTGTCGTCCTTGCGATCGTCCTCCTCATCTTCGTCCTCGTCCTCATCATCAACACTCGTACACTCCGAAACATCCTCATATATCTCCCCGTCCCCGTGCCACACATATGTCTTTTGCAAAGCCGCATCAAAAACCAAATCCCGGTCCACTGAGAACACTGTAGAAATCGGAGACGGGTCCTCTGAGCTCTGCGCCTCCGAAGCACGCCGCGGCGGTGTAAGAGGTTCGATTTTGGCGCGCTTGGGGTCTCCGAGCTGCTTTTTCTTGGGTTCGGTGGTGGTCTTGTCATCCTCGTCATCGAGGGTCAAGGAGCTTAGCCATAAGGTAACTGGATCTGGATTGGCCATGGTCGACTACGAGAAACTGCAACTGTGTACCGGATACGCGCGCTGAATCTACCAAGACGGCTGCAAAAAAGGAGTTGGGAAGAGTTGTATCGGTGCTGTTGTAGAAGCGCAGGTCTGAGGTGAGAGCAAGAAGCGTGATACCAATTCATGGTGAAGGCAGATACGCTAGCTCAGCTCCAGGCCGAATTTGATAAACTTGCTCGATATACTGCAACAATATGGGGCCAAAAAAGAGACAGGATATAGACGTTTCAAATATGCAGACTTGGATTGCTGCCTGAATGAAAGTGTTGAGTGTGTAGATTGCTGTCCAATGTGATGATTTGAATCGAGATGGGATCAGACAAACTTATCACTTTCCCACCAAACGAAGAAAGATACAAGGGCATCCTGGGAATGGATGGTTGCGAGATACAACGTTCGTAATCTGGGACTGAGGAGACTGATAAATGGGATGGCAATGTAAACACATCCGACACCAAAGCTGGGAAACAGCAAGCGAAGAAAGCCCAATGATTTATACATGTGCATAAATAGTAAAGCGTAAATCCCTCGACTTGGGTGACTTGAATTACATTTGCATTTGACAAACTTCATATCCAAGCTCGGTATGAGGATGTACTCGTCCAGGGTATAAGGGGTTGCCAAGAATTATTTACTTTTCAAACCAGACAATCACAAGACAAAACCACCTATGGTGACATGTTTCCAGTTTCGCACAGGATGTGTGTCCTCGAGTTGAACGCACCACCAAAGGACTTCCTTTGCCTTCTCGATTTGGCCGCTTTCCTCATAGGCTCGTGCGAGCGCAAACCAAGCTTCAGAGTAATCCCATCCGGTGCCAAATTTCGTCAGGGTTGACAACAAAGCAAACGCACGATCGCGAGCAGCAAGTCGAGTCAATTCTGGAGGGGATAGCTGATTTTCCACGGATGGAGTATGGGATGTCAAGTATTGCGTCTTGGAATGTGAGATTGACTGCTCGACTGAGGGAGAAGGACAGGCGGGTGGACTTGTGTGATCTGCTGTCAAAGCCGGTTCAAGAGGGATCACTTCACTGTATATGTCCAAAAGAATGTTTGACAAGCCAACAATGGCTTCAGGGTGATCGGGATGGTGCATCAGGGCGCGCTCAAATTCAGCCCGTGCTTGATGCTTGTGAGATTGGGCTGCGAGCAGATCACCACGCTGCATGTCATGTCAGTTATGAGTCACGGAATTGGGAAAAAGAACTTACTGCAGTATAGGCATCAGCCCACAGCTCCTCAACACTTTTGCCGCCACCCCATCCTTTGTCTGCGAGCGCTTTCGCTGTCGATGATTCAAGCGATGCCTCAGCTTCAAAAGCTTCTACTAATTTCAATGCCTCTGCAATTGCCTCTCTAGCATCCGAGAACATCTGGGCTCGGGTATAAAGCCCCGAGATGAACAGCCACACGCTGATTAGCAGTGATACCTTTTGCCGTCGCTCCTGAAGTTTGGAGAAATGAGGATCCAGAGGAACAAAATCGGAATGAGGCACTCGTGATGGCAGTCGCGTGTCCTGTTGGGGCGGATCGGAATGATTCAAAGGCGGTGATGCATGAGGCAGATTGTGCGGTATCGACCGAAGCGGCCTGTCGCTACTTTCGAGCGACTTCCTGGGTGTGCTTGCATTCGACTGGCGTCGCGGGGACTTGTTAGGACCAGGACTCGTCTGAGTAGTAGTCCCATTGACTGAATTCTCTGGGAGAGGAGGTACCTCATGCGGTTGGTCCCCATCTGTCACTGTTGATCGGCGCGCACTAGCACTGCGCTTCTGCAGTTTACTACCACTGCGTCCAAGGCTTGTTGCGCTATCCTCATGCTTGTGATGATGGAATAGATGGTGGCGATGATGACCGCTGGATTGACTCTTATCGCCATCAGTGACCTGGATCGCAGGGGGTGCGCCCTGCTGAGCGACAGCTCCAGAGCTTTTGGCGCTAATGACGGATGAGTTTCGGATATCAGTTCCTTGTGGAGGAGCTTTGACAGTGCCTCGTCCACGGAAGATGCTCCCCCGAACTGTGCCTGCAGCACTCTTTGGAGGTACCAACGTCGTTGGAGGTTGCAATTTGGGTTTCTCGGAAGAAGGATCACCGAAAAGCCTGCCGTATAGCGCGAGGAGCTCATCGCAACCGTCCACGGCAGCAAGTGTACCGTCAGTCACTTCTACCAAGGCTAGCTGTGTCATTTTGATTTGCAATATGCTGGTCTTTTCGTAGCGCTCCATGCGATCAACGATGCCTGAACTAGGGATATCTTTGCCCGTGGCCTCGTTCAAGTGTTCACTGCGGAACAAGCCTGACTCTTCTCTGCCAAAAAGTATAGCAGGATCACCGAATTGCTCAAACGCCGCCTCGCAGGCTTTCGCTGCAGCGGTGTAATCGGATCGCGAGGTCAACAGCAAGGCGAGCAAGTGCCACAGCGGAATTAATTTGCGCTCTCGACCGAATTCAGTAGCTATGCCATCGGACAGGACACCATCAGGGGTGGACGTCGTCGTAGCCCTTGGAGCTTGCGTCAGGGCGCGCTTGACTGCTTTGATAGCTCCTGGAATATCTCTGGTTTCAGCAAGCACGAGCGACAATGCGTAAAGCGCTTCTACGTTATTCGATTCTCCAAGACTTTGAGCTAGGGATTTGCGCAAGTACTGCACAGCTTTGGCTTGGATGCTTGCCCGCGCTTCGACTTCGTACGTAAATCGGGCCCAATGCGCTTGACTGACGCCAATTGCGCAATACGCCACCGCAAGGGCAGAAGGCTCTACGAGGGCTTCTATTGACGTGACAGAGCTGGCATCGGACGTTGATTGGATGTGATTGGTTTGCTCCAACCATCTCTCAATGTTGTGTCCAATTTCGAGCGCCTTCTCCGCTTCTTTTCTGCATCCAAATTTACAAAGCACTCGGATAGCTTCTGCAGAGGTCCGCAGCACGGTACTATCGTCGTCGATATGGGCGTCTTCTTCTCCAGATTTTTCAGCGCGGTCCTTGCCTCGCGTGATGATGACAACGTAGGAATCGTATGCTTTGAAGGCCAGGTCAAACTCAGCGAGCGACGCATGGACCACGAATAGGTGTCGTAGGATCTGGGTGGAGTGGAACGTTTTGGTGGCTGCTCGGTATAGAATCTATCATGTCGTCAGCTATATATCGTCTAGACGTTGGCGAATGGGTACCAACATCAAGCACGCTTCGCCCGATGCCCTCTTTTCCTCCCTCGCCAAGGTCGTTATCGTCCCATGTTGGACCACACAGCAGACGCCAATTGTCCATGACAGAATCTACCCAGGTCTCTATTTCGTGGTTCGTTTCACTTGCTTTGGGGAAATGCGTCTCTTTGATTAGCAGATTCTCATAGATGGTCTCGACCCTTTTTAGCTCTGCTCGCTGCCTCAACCGCATGCTTGACTGGCTGTAAAGAGATGACTTTTCCTGTGTCTCAGGCGTCGAATCGGGCTCGTAGGGAAGGTCATTGCGCAATATGGTGGAAAGAGTGTCGTAATAAGATTTCCATGCCAACCGACGATGTCGAGCCTGGTGTGCTTCATCGGATCCTCCGCTTTTTGCTGTAGCATCCCAATGTTTGGCCCACTGACGGTAGGTGCGAAGAGCTTCGGACGGGTCGACATGGGTGCCGGCGCCGGAGGACTGATCTGAGAGCTGACAGAGCCGGACGAGTGCGTTCTCGCTCCACATCTTGAACTGAACCGACTCGGTGTTTGGGCTGGTGGTCGTGGCCAACCATGGGACTATGGACGAGTAGGTCGCGACGGCCTCTTTGACGGCGCCGGTCTTCTCAAGGGCCGATCCTGTACCAAATCAGTCCAGTTCCCCGCCTAACACATGGGGTAGGTCATAGGGGGAAGTCGCGACTGAAGTGTATGTACCTTTGAGGTAGGTGCCCTTGACCAAGCAGACCCGTGACCACCCGGTCAGGGTCGCTGCTTCCCCGGACAGCTGGGTTGCAACTGCCCCGAAATCCTTGGGAAGGCGCGCCACAGCAAGGTCGGGCTCTTCCAAGACGTAGTGAAGCCAGCCAAGGCAAACGGTGGCCTGGAAAGCATCCTGTGCATGGCTGTCGGCTTCCTCTATGGCAGTGAGCAGCGTTGGGATCACATTGCCTGAAAAGGCTCGGTAGTTGTCCGGTTCCTGAGGACCGGAGAGACTGTTGCACTGAACTGTCGAACTGGAGTGCTAACTTAAACAGAGCTATACCGTACAGAACAGTCCTCGAGATGTTTGCCAGAGCAAAAGGATGATGACTGACATTTACGGTGTGGCGCATGTTTGTCCACCTTCCTACACAGCTCCGGCACGTCGCTCCATCGTCCAGCACATCGCGCCTCGTCCAGTTGCTGCAGATAGCGCTGGGCCTTGTCGCTCTCGGGGGGGTTCTGGGTGAGGACGGTAAGCTACCAATGCGGGCAAATGACGTTGTTTCAGCATGCTTGACAACAACTACTGAAGCACACCTCCACCGTGTAAACATGGACGTAGACCGTGACCTACCACCATTTTGTTAAAGATACTGGCTTCTGCACTAGACGGAGTCGCAAGGCACCAAAAGTCATGTTCGAGGAGCAATACGGAATGCGACGAAGCCTGCCATGTTGGTATTGCACACCGCAGAAAGTGTCTCTGAGGTACTGGGGCTCGTTGCGCGGACCCTGGCCGTGTTGGCGCTAGGTACCGGTACGGTCTGCGGCCCGACTGAACCTCCGTCCGATTCAACTTTTTTTTTGGGGGGGCTCCAGCGCCCATCAAACCATACACAGTCCGACAAAAGAGAAAAGAGGGTGTTGGAAGTGAGGGAGGAAGAGGAAAAAAAAGCGCTGGCACCATGACACCCGTTACATCCGAGCTGTCTACGCTCAAGGCTCTGACGTTTCGCATATCATCTACGCCTACCTTACAGCTCCCCCAACACGTGCCAGCTATAGCCGCATCTTTGGCCAATTGCAGAGCACTTCTTTCCTCGACTCAGGCTTCGGGTGTCAAAGCATCCTCTTCAGAGGCTTCCGTTGCTGTTCACAAGTTTCGGACCCTGATCTCAACCCTACTCCATGACCGCACAGTCCAAGGAAGATGGTCTGCCATCGTCCTCGTCAAAGCTGCCATCGAGGTGGGAGGTTGGGAGACGTTGCAAAAGTCTCTCCCATGGGTTCGCGGACTACTTGGATTCCTCAATAAGCCGGATCCACCATCTTCGAAAAAGCTATGCATCATCACGTTGACTCGCATCTTTCTCCTCACGCGAGAGTACCCAACTCTGATTCGTGAAATCACCACGCCTTCACTACCTGCATTCATCCAGGCTACTCTGCAAATGGCCAATTCCACGACGTCTTCAATCTTATTGCAAACGATCCTCGAAAGCTTCAACGAACTTCTGCCACGGCACCCTACCATCTTCCGATCGTACCTCAAGCAGATCCAACCACTCTTAGCACAACTCATTGCACCGACACCCTCAAGTAAGATCAGCAAGGAGCAGGCCCCTGGACTGAGAACTGGAATGACCTCCGATATCGTGTCAGCTGCGCGCCAGATCTATGTCCAAATCCCCTCGTGCGCACCCAAAGGTGGCTCCAGCGAAGAGTGGAGCAAGTCTGTCAAAAGCACGGTCAACCATGTGCACAAGACGGCAGACAAAGTCTTCCGCGCCGTACTCGAAGACTGGCAGTCTACCGCACGAGAAGCGCCCGCTACGAATGGCCATACTTTGGACGACGAGCTTCAAGATCTTGATTCCAACAGCGCCAATTTACCACCATGGTCCGGTATATACGCAGGAACTGAACGACTGACAGGCCTTTTGCATGTCTTGAAACAGTATCTCGAGAGCCCCACGGCGAGTACGGTATATTTCAATGTCGGCATGATCATGGATCTAATTACGAGGATGCTATCACTGACGGTACCCACTGTGGGAGGGAAAGCGTTTCAGAACGCAGTGAGACTGAATAGCCAAGTCAGCAAAGAAGAGCGTGAAAATTTGTGGCTCCTACTGCCGGACGTACACGTTGCGTCTATCGATTTATTATTGGTGCTTGCACAAAGATCTCAAACAAGTACACTGGCACTCGACTCAGCTGTCATCGATCAGGTAGTCTGGCTATTCTCATCTGAGAAAGACAACGGGAATATCAGGACTGCTTGTTATTCGGCCATTGCGGCTTTACTGGAACGGTCCGGAGTGGCTCTGCACAAAGCGACAATTGACTCGCTCGTTCCAATCGTACGTTCTTGCTGTGACGATCTTCTGCCTTCTGAGCCTGTTGATGGCTCAGCAAAACAGACCCCTGGACAAGCCAAAGCGAGCGGCAATAGTCAACCGCAGACTACATCGAACGCTGACACGTTTCTCGGTTCTTCCAAGACAATGGTAGATGCCCATATTGGCTTCTGCGGTCTGAAGGAGGCAGCATATGGTCTCCTGCCAGTGCTACTTACCAACATCCCTGCCCAGTTCTTCTCAGACTCACTGCGAGCACGACTTGACCGAACCGCTATCTTAACCCAACACAAGGACGCTATGGTAGCTAGCGTACTAAATCCACCTCCAAGCAAAAAGTTTGGAAAGCCAGCTGCCAGTGTTCTACCGCTCATGGCTCGCTCGTTTCCCGATGACAAAAGCGTTGAGGGCATGTTGCGGCCAAGAATGCCAGTGATACGTCTGTGTGGCGAGGAACTCGAGGTGGAAGAGACTACTGACGAGGATATGGACGAGGACAAGAAAGAGGAGCAAGAGCTAAGTCGCGAGATAGAGGAGGAATTTGCAGCCACACAAAGCTTGGAAGCGCCAGACGAGTCGTTCGTTGGTCATGAATTGGGCCATTTATTGGAATCTGCTGAACGGACAAAGCAAATGCCGGACGATGCCACAATGCCCAGCACATCCCAATCCAAACCTGACTCTGTCCTAGCAGAAGGAAACAATGGCTGGAATACCATTGCGCATGAATTTATTGTTGTGCCATCGACCATCAGCGATACTGCAAAACGATACTTGAACGATCAACCAACATCGTTGCCTTCGAAACGAGTAAAGACAGTCGAACGCGGGTCGGCTCCAAGTACGAAATCCTCCTCAGGCACAGCCCAGTCAGGCGAACCAGATTCTGGCTCGTTTGTACCAGCTACTTCCGACTTCACTGCGACCAGCACAGCTTCTGCTGTACCTGAACTCCCAAAGCCTGTTGACGGTGATAGCGATAACGATGAGATTATACCCCTTGTATTTGGACAAGACACTGATGACGAGTCGGAGTAGAGAGTAGCTCGATATTAATATAGTGTGATAACCCCAGCCGACATTGGGTGATGTGAAGATAATTCCACGCATGCGCAATACCAAATATGCAGCAACAAAGCAGCGATCTCTATTTTACACTTGTGATCCCAGTCATTCTCTCACATGTTCCTCACATAGCAAACACTGGCCATAACTTCTAGTCTCGGCTGTCACGTCAACGGCGGACGTGAACAAACGCCGCCTTGATTGGTTTTCACCCAACACAGCACGACTACATCACCCAATCCAAGCCTCAGGTAAAAGCATACGCCTACCACTCGCAGACACCTGAATCTAGGCATGTCCTCCACCAAGTACCCGTGGGACTCCCACCAGAGCGCCGTCATAAACTCAGTCGAGCTCACCGGTCCCCAACTATACACCACAGGTGTGACGCACTACCGCCACATCCTTCAAACGCAACGAACCTACCCGAGAATCTGCACAGACTTCGTCAAGGAATATCGAGACAGAGCTGAAGCGCCCTCAGACACCATCTTAGACCTCGATACCTCTCAATCCACGCGCTCCAGTCCACTCGATCGATCCATAAACTACACCACGCGCCCCGCACCCGCAGCACGCTCAGAGTACCATAGTGACATCTACCATGCCACAACTACCAGCAGTGCAGTGTGCCTGGCAATAGTACGCATCGCGGAGAAGAATTTACCGTTTATCGACTTCACCTCTGCTGCCAACCATCTACCCAATCTCTCACCCTCCGATCCGCTGCCCTCGTTACCGGTAGGCATTTTCACCGGCGATCTACCTTCCTCCCACCTGCCAACCTCGACCAGGATTTCCATCGCCTTCCTCCCCGAATTCTACTCTGACAACCGTCACGCGCTAGGCTACTACGTCCTGCTTTCCGCCATAGCAGATACCCAGAAAGAACGTGTCACGGCAGCTGTGTTTACGCCGTGTACGATTGCTGATCTGGAAGACTGGGACATGGTTTTATACGAAAAGGGCAGGCAAGCTGAAGGTATTCACCATATGGATGTGGTCGGGGTGCGGGGTGGTAGGTGGGTGACGCCAGATTGTGGGCAGTATTGGGGTTCGTGGAGCTGGGTGTGGTGGGTTTTGGAAAGGTGGGAGAAGAAGATTGCTAAGACTTTGGAGAGGATTGTGGGAGGGGTATAATTAGGTGATGTGGCTTGAATAGATGGGAGGCGTATGTTGGGTGTGTGTGTGTGCTCATTGGGATATCAGGATATTGTGACTGTTGGATGCCGACCAACAAACATAACCTGTTTTCTCTTTGCCAATACCTCCACTCCCAATGGTATACACTGTTGATTTAGGCTCAAGTCTGTCTCGACAACTGGTCACTGTGCGTGTGCCACGGTGATTGCTGGCCGTCCCAAAAATATGTACTCCTAATATGGCATGTCTATTGATGATATATGTTGCAAATGAATTTATGAAGAAGTGTAATGTACTTCCTCAAGCTACTGGTAGATGAATCAAATTCAAATGCGACGTGAAGCACTACGAGCCCCTTCGTAGGTTTGAAAGGCTTGTTGAGCTGTCAAGTTGAGACTACTGCTGTCAGACGCTTTTCCGCACCGCCCGCCTTCATCGAATATTCTCGCCACGAACGCGCGATGAAAGTGAAAGCGGTAGACTACGCTGGTGTTGGCACTGGCGTCACAACCTGTATATATATAATCTAGCCCAAGCCCTCCTCTGCTCTCACCCTTTACCACTCACTTCTGAAAAGCTAACACGACAAACGAGTCGACAAAATGTTTCACTCAACACGCTCGGCACCCTTTTCTCCACCGCCGCCAGACCTAGATCGCCATGTCTTGTACAAGCCGTTTCCTTTTCTGAAATTACCAAAGGACATTCGTCTTATGGTTTATGAGAATCTTCCCATCACCACGAATCTGCACCTCATACCTTCGAAAAGGCCACATCACTACATCACCCTTGTGAATCCCTCCATATCCGGTATTCGCATTCTAGCCACATGTCGCCAGATTAACCAAGAGGCATCACCTATCCTCAAGCCACACCTAACTCGCATTCTCAAGACACCACCCGAAATCCAGATCGCGGCTAAAGACCTCATCGGCCTTTTAAACTTCGACGACAGTTTTAGATACGAGTACGACATTCTGGACAGGATTCTGCGGGCTGTAAAAGTTGCAACAACCCTGCAGAGCATTCACGGATACCGCAAATCAGGAAGCGAGGAGGCATACCTCACGATGAAGTCGTGGCTGAGAGTGCGCGGCCTGCTAGACAATGAGGACCGAGTATCTGCCAAGGCCCTTGCAACATTCGTGCTTCGCGCACACGAGTATAGAAAGACTTACCCAAGCACCTTTTACAAGTAAGTACACTTCCTCCAAGTTGGTCGAACAAAGTGAGAGCTCTGGGCATATCTGACCAGTTTGCACGTGACCGATTCAGCCTCTCCTTCGAACTATGCACGCTAACATCAGCTCCAGGTACCCTCCGTTGAACGTCATAGTCAATGTACCAGCCAACTACCAACGTCAGACAGTGATATCGACTGTATCTCGCGTCATGCAAATTTACCACCGTATTTTATTCCATCCTCGACGACCCCGATATCAGACGGGCCTGACGAAGTTGAGCTGGCTCTTCTGCCGCATCGCATTCACCATGGCGCTGAAGTGCGATCATCACAGCACATTGGCTATCTGTCTCAAGATAAGACTTATTCGAGTGGAGGATGGTCCGTCCAGGCGTGTTCCACAGGCGACTGAGCACAGGATCCACGCAAATATCATACAGGGTGTGCATGACGCGAAATGCAATGGAAAGCGTTTGGTGTACTATGGTGGGGTGGTACAAGATGGAGATCAAGATACGGACATTGCCCGTTAGATCGGACGTTCGGAGCCATGGGACAGGGGGTTCCACGATTCATCTTGGAGCGTTCGAGAACATGTGGGGATATCCCCACCGTGCACACTTCGGGATCTGTGTGGACAGACCGGAGGTCCTTATTGCAGGATAGCAGCTGTCGGAATCGATTTACTATACAGATTGTATCCGTAGTCGACCAGTTGATCGACGATCAAGTTACGAGGACCCGAGTAGCTACATGCCGATGCTAGAGTACCGGTACACTTTCCCTGCTTTATCATATCATGGTTTCCGATTCCAAGAGCAGTGTCCTGTCCATTCGCGCGAGAGTCGCAGGTGCAATTCTGCCCGGTGCCAGCTAGGCTCTTGAACCAGTGCTCCCCACAATCCCCTCGCACTTTTTTCTTCTTCGGCAGTGCGTTGAAATCTGCCGTTGCGCGTGACTAGCCATCTCGGGCCGTTGTCATGCATTGCTTCGTAGGCTCTGGGAAGGAAATTCAAAGTAACGCGTGCAATGTCGGTCCGTATGTCACCAAAAGTCCTGCGGATGGGAAGAGGAGTCAGTCAATATGGGGATGCAACTCCAGCTGGCATGGCGTCGAGTGGTGGAGAAACAACGGCCCTGGTATGAGAGTCAAGTCGGGACTAGCCCCCAGACGCTAGGACAAAGGGAGAAGGAAGCGATTCACGTGAATTGATTGGCGTCTGGGGACGACGTCTAATTTAACGTCAGAGTTCTTCACATGCACGGAACATCACTCTTCCTCGCTCGATCTGATTCGTCATGGTCTCATACACTACCAGACGCTTTAGATGAGGCTCGTCCGGCCAGGGAGCTCATTCGTTCATCGTCGGTCCGCTCTCTGTACACCCTCGCCCCTTCGTCCTCGCTTCCGTAGTAGCAAGACGCTTGCCTAGTTCCCGCTGCTCTCCGCAATGCGCCTGGCAGTCTTTATTGGCATCCGACAGGAACGCGCATGTACAGGCGTACTAACCTTGAGAAGCCGTCAACCTCTAGCCACCATGATGACCGTCTATATAACGCTCCACGATGTGCACTGAAAAGTCCATCATCACTCGCCTCTCTTCACTTCAGCTCGCTCTGAGAACCCCAGAGTACGATGCTCTTCACCTCTCTTCTACGATCTCTTCCGGCGGCTCTGCTCCTTGCAGGTGCCAATGGCTCGCCTGTGAATGAAAAGCGGCAAGCGTCCCTTGAGACCTTCATCAAATCTCAGACTGAGATTTCCATCAACGGCGTGCTTGCCAATATTGGTCCCGATGGTGCAAAGGCTCCAGGCGTGCCTGCAGGTATTCTGATTGCCAGTCCATCACGAACAAACCCAGATTGTTTGTACAGCCACCCCTGTAACCCAGTGCATTCGGCTAATACCGTATATCGTCTAGACTTCTACACCTGGACTCGAGATGCCGCCTTGACTTATAAAGCGCTCGTGGAACGGCTGATCGCCGGGGATACTTCCCTTCGATCCAGACTTGACGATTATGTTTCTTCCCAAGCCTTTTTGCAGACTGTATCCAACCCCTCTGGTGGACCTGATACTGGGGGTCTAGGCGAGCCAAAGTTCAATGTCGATCGTACGGCATTCACCGGGTCTTGGGGACGTCCTCAGCGCGATGGACCTCCTCTGCGCGCAACTGCCCTTATTCTCTATGCCAACTGGCTGATCGAGAACGGCGGTCAGACCCAAGCTGCCAACACAGTCTGGCCTGTCATCGCCAAGGATCTTGCTTACACTGTACGCTTTTGGAATCAGACTGGTTTCGATCTCTGGGAAGAGGTGAATGGCTCGTCGTTCTTCACTCTCTCTGCTAGCCATCGTGCGCTTGTTGAAGGCGCAGCCCTCGCAACGAGGCTCGGAAGGCCATGCGAGGGTTGTGCTGCTAACGCTCCTCAAATCTTGTGCTTTATGCAGAGCTTCTGGACTGGAAGCTACATCGACTCCAACATCAACCTTAACGATGGACGCACTGGCAGGGACGTCAACTCGATCCTGTCATCTATTCACACTTTCGATCCCGCCTCCGCGTGCACTGACGCTACGTTCCAACCCTGCTCGTCTCGCGCTCTGGCCAACCACAAGGCCGTTACCGACTCTTTCCGCTCTGTCTACGGTATCAACAGGGGAATTGCCCAGGGCAGGGCTGTTGCTGTAGGAAGATACTCTGAGGATGTTTACTTTAACGGAAACCCATGGTACCTAGCAACTCTTGCTGCAGCCGAGCAACTCTACGCCGCTATCTACCAATGGAACACCGTAGGCTCCATTGTTGTCAACAGCGTTTCCCTGCCATTTTTTAGGGATATCCTGCCTTCTGTCGCTACCGGAACATATGCCAGGGATTCTGCTACCTACAATTCCATAATTGCTGCTGTCAGGACCTACGCGGACGACTACATTTCCGTTGTCCAGAGGTACACTCCTTCCAACGGCATGCTTGCCGAGCAATTCGACAAGAACAATGGTTCGCCTGTCTCTGCCGTCGACCTCACTTGGTCCTACGCCGCCTTCCTCACCGCCACTGAGCGCCGCGCCGGTGTCCTCACCCCCAGCTGGGGAGAGACCTCCAATAACCGTCCTCCTCAGACCTGCACTGCACCCCCTGCCTGCAACTCCAGGGTCACCTTCAACGTCCGAGCCACCACCGTCTTCGGCGAGAACGTCTTTGTCGTTGGACAGTTGACTCAGCTTGGTAACTGGACTCCCAACGACGCAAGACCTCTGAGTGCCAGTCAATACACCAGCAGCAACCCTATCTGGTCGGGTTCCGTGGATCTCCCGGCTTCTACGGCTTTTGACTACAAGTACATCAGGAGATCTTCTTCCGGTGCTTTTACGTGGGAGAGCGATCCTAACCGCAGGTTCACCACCTCGAGTGGATGCGGAAGCACCGTCACCGTCAACGACACTTGGAGATAATTCGCAGGCTTTAATTCATAGTTTAGCGAAGGGTCTGTACTCGCCTCTCACGGCAGGTTTCTGCGGGCTTACGCAGGGCTACGCATTGTTGGCAGAAGATCTTTGAGCATGTTTCACTGTAGCCTGCCTTATAGTATAAATACAAAATTTGAGGTCTCAAGCGAAACAACATGATATTACCTTTCACATCATATCTTTGTATATGCGGGTGACAATGATGGCCCTTAAGCACTGCTTCCAATGCGAGCGTTTGTGTCAGCATGATCTCGATGTAGTGTGTGCTGGTCTTGGTGCTAGTTGCGCCTTCGCTTTCTCATTGTGGAATTGCACGTATACTTCTTATTCACAACGATGATTGCAAGCCATATTACATAAGATGGGAATGAACAAAAAGGCGCCAGGACAGATTTGACAGATGCCATTAATTATACAAGTAAAAATATATTTGCGCCAACGGTATCGCGCCTCTGTATGCTATGCACTTTACGACAAGATTATAATACTGATACGCACCCTGCTGCATTACTCCAAGTGGTGCCCATTCCAACAAATCGTCTATACGCCAGGCATTCCCAACCAAGTTCTAATCTGCGGAACACCGCGGGGAAGAAAGTAGACAGTCCAAAGCCCCGCAAAAGCCACAAGCAGGCCCGTAAACTTCTCGAACCAGGTATGGAAGTAGGCGGCCGTCATGAGCAACATCCACCACATGAGGCCAGCAACACCCAGAGCAAACTTGACACCCTTTGTCGTAGCATCTCCCTCCTCCTTGACCCGCTCCTTCTCCACAATCACACTGGCCACCTTGCCATCTGCAAGCGTGATGAGGCGGCCATCTCGCAGACCCTCCATGCGCGTTAATGCCGGCAGAAACTCGAGCCAAAGCAGCGCCGAGCCGAGGATAAGGAGGAAAACGTGTCCGGAGATGTCATGGCCGCCCTTCCACGTTCCACCCACAGCCTTGCACGTGGCGGCTGTGATGAACTCCTTCGCATCTGACATGTCCGCCCTCGCATCGGGATCACGAATGAGCTCGCACATGCCGCCCGTAAACCGGAAGCCGCGGTCGATAAGTGGTGGCCCAAAGAACCACTGTGTCAAAAACGTCCACCACGTCGTCACGGCCGCATATCTCAGCACCGCCTGGACACGTCTCTTGCTGAAGCCACGCCCAAAGCTAGGATGAAGAGTGACAAACATTGCAAATGCGACCGTTGTCCAGAACCATCCTACTTTGACAAAGTAGACATTGAAGACGTTCTTCTTTTGCGCAAAGTAGCTGGGCGCAAACTCGGGTAGGTGTGATTGCGAGTCGGCGGAGTAGGGGGCGGCGCGCGCAGCTGGGGAGACGATGCTGAATATACTGCCGAGAAGGAGGGTGGCAGGGTAGATGGCAATGAGGAGGGCTTCGAGGCGGGTGGGTAAGAAAGGCGAGCGACGCGCCGAAGCGGCAGGCGTGACGGCGGGCATGCTGGTTGAAAGGGGCACGGTGGTGTCGTCGGAGGAATCGATTTTGCGCCGCGTAGTCATCGTGACCTCCACCATAGGATGTATCCTTGGAATTATACTGGCAGAGCGAGATGACTGATTATAGGTGGTGGTGGCTCACAAGGCGAGGAGAGCGATCTACCAACGCGACTGAGACACAGAGAGGGGCGTAGGTTCCCAGAGGCGACAGAGAAGGAGTTGAGATGTCTTGGGTTTCCTTGGGAAACTTCACTCGTGGACAATGGATGCTGCTGTGGGTGTAATGGAACGAGGTAGATGACACAACGGGCAATGACGTCGTGTCGTGTTTTGCGATCGTGGTATTTGCGCCACACTGTGGCTGACAGATCTCGCTAGCCCGCTTTGAGTCTACTACCCACAGGAGAACACCACAACCTCCCAGGACAAGATTTGGATACCAACAAATACAGAGATACTTTGCTGAGATAGCTATGATTAATCATTACCACCTGCTAATCCCATATGGATAGCGTAACTGAACTTCTCCTTCATGGAAATGATTTGACTTCGTCTATCAGGCAGCTCATCGTAACGACCAGTCAAGTCTTACCAACTGGAAACGAATGGATGGTCGTGGTCGTGGTCATGGCGAATTCAAGAGATGGACTCTACTCTTAAGAGACTTGGAGCTGATAACCACAGCGTCTTCAACGACAAAGTCTGCACCGACGAAATTCAACAGCAATGCCGTCGAACTGACCAACAGCCAGGAATCACGGGGAAATTAGAAGGTCCAACCCTAGGGGAATATTTCTGGCAGCCGGAACTACCGAGTCAGAGGCGGGGAAAAGCAGCAACCGTGATTAGTCTGAGCGATGCTTCATGTGTCGTAGGAATGGTTCTACAAGGACTTGGGATAGGGTTACGCTGTTGCAGTTCAAAGAAATGTCAAAGTATCCCGATTATTAACACTACACCTAGTATTTCTGCAGGGCATATACCTTCCTGAACTCAATTCCATCATAGAAGAATACCAAATCCAACAAGCAGTAACAAACCCAGCCCCGCCATCCTAACGACCCAACATCAGCAGAGAGAAACTAAAGAAACCCCCATGCACCAACTGCGCCGCGCCTAAACAGCATACGACAAACCACACCCCCAGTCAACAACAAAGCGGCAAAGTTTTCCCAAACTTGG